TCTGCCCAGATACAAAAAAATGGGAGGTGACTCACAAAAAGGTAACAGAGGAACAAGACACACCTTATTACGGCGTTGGTGGCCTATCTGGATGCCCCGATCGAAGCTTCTCTGATGGGCCTCCACACTCTCTGACGGTGGAACACACAAAAATAATCAAGGTACGTGATCATGGATTCCAAAACCAAGCAAATATGTATGACACCTTTAACGGTAACAATGTTTTGTTCAAAGACCAGAAACCAATCCAAGTGTTGTGGATTATAATGTACAGTACATACTTTAAATTCTGACCGTCAGCTTTTAAATCAACAGCAAATCATTATTTTACAGCAAATTCTTTCCAGAGGATGCCTACTACTCACTAGCATTACTATACCTTTGAATCGTCAACCATTTTTAGGGAGGTAGACTGTGAAAATTAAGACTAAAGTGCAGTACAAGTTTGCTCTTACTACACCAAACAATCTCTGTTTCACTAATTCCTAACATTGTTAAAACAGGACTTAAAATGCAGTCTGTTTTACCCCATGATGAACATGTCTTTCATTCAAAAACGTACAAGCCCTGTGACAGACTGATCAATATATAGCTGATAAGAGTGATAATGACCAGGTCTGTTTACCACTTGAGCCTGTCAATAAAAGCATGTCTACATGTACAATGATAGCCAATTACAGTCCATATTGCTAGAATAAAGCACAACAACAAGTGTAGATGTAACTTTGCAGTTGACAGATCAATGAATCCTGCTCAAAAGGATGGAGAGAAGGGGGATGTGGTTAGATACCTTTGTAGAGGTTGGTTACTGCTGTAGCAGAGTTCTGAAATGGCACCCACAATGACAGGCCCTGCTGATGGCATACTCTGTCTGTTGGAGGGAAGGGGAAATATGTTTGATTTCTATACATCACATGCGGCCATAATTTAAAAGCAATTCCCTTTGATTAATATGACCAAAGGACAACAAAACATCTGAGCGCCACAACAGCTCGGTGATTATAGGGTTGAAGTGAAGATCATTCTCACTCGCCATTTTGTCTTGAATCTACTATTGCATGAACAGGGTTTGGCATAAAAATAACCGTCAGCCAGCGCTAGATGGCCAGCTTGGCAGCAGTTTGTTTAGCAAGACAGCACTGACACACCAACTTAACTGCCCTCTCAGCAGTAAAGTTGCAAAACCCTGTCAAACATACATGCCGGACATGGTCGACAAGTCGAGATCTGTCAGTTTGGACAGGAATTCAATATGACTGAGGTCACCACAGCCATAGCGGCTTGTAGACAAACCAATACTTCCACAGCGAACCAATACTATCCTCGCCATTTTGTGATTATAATGCTAGCTACGCGTTGCTAAACAAACTGCTCACTCAGCAGCAAATCGGGCGTTTAAAAGAAAGTGTAACGTTACCGTTCTGGGCTGTTACCTTTATATATTTACAGCACAATTTTACAGCTAACTACGTCCGGTATAACAGATTGTTATACTGACAGTAACGTTATACAAGGGACTGTCAGCTGAGAATGTCGCGTAGCTACGATTGTTGTTACCATCGCCATTTTGTATCTAGCCCGGCTAACGTTACGTTAGCTGTCCGATGCTGGTGTCAACAAGCAAGCTTATTGTCAAAGGAATTCATGTTAACTTAATCTACTTTAATTATGTCCGTAAATTCATCTATGGATGTTTAACACTCTAAACATGCGTATGACATCACATGCGAGTTCATAACTAACGTTTTTTGTTGTTTTTTTTTTATCACTTGCTGACACGAGCTAGCTAAATTTAGCATTGCAAGCCAGCTGTTAACGTTACCCAGAACTGGACAGCGAGTTTGCTAACGAGCTAGTTAGCATTTCACCAATACTAACGTTAGTTCGCTGTAGGTAGACAGGTTGCTAACCAGTGAACCAGAGGCATACTGGACGAACACGCAAAGAGAAAACTCTAGTTTGAACCTTTGTATAACTGTGCCACAGCAGTGGCGGAGTTCTGGAAGAGATGCCACAGTTTATCCTGGTCGTTGTCGGCCTCCTCCTCGCTCGGCTCCCTTTGCTCCGCTTCGGCCAAACACTGCCGCTCCCATTTTGAGAACCAGTGCTCGGGTCCGTGTTCCTGTATTTCCGAGTCTCCGTCTTCCTTCTTCTCCTCCATTTAATGCACCAAAACGCGATGAAAATGCGTTTTTAATATGTTAAAATATAAATATCTGGACACTGTATAGAATTATGTGAGCAAATTCATGAATACTGTTAACGTCTTACTATTTCGCATTACAATACAACATTGCTCTTTATTGCTACCATCTGTTAAGATAGGCTTACCGAACTAGTTTTTCAGTTCCCGATGTCGGAATATATACAACGCAGACAATCCTGTTAGGCTTTAACCCCGCCCATCATACTACATGTCAGCAACCATTGGCTGTATGAGCACTGCAGGGTGGGCTTGAGGGCTTTGCTCAGAATTTCATTGGCTGGCTGACACGTCCGTCACAGCATTGACACAAAAGAACCTCAGTGAAAACTCCCCATTACTAAAGCTTGCTAGAGAGTACAAGTTTCTTCATGAAAATTGCTCTGTTACAAAAAAAATAGGCTTTTAATAGTAAAATTAAATAAAGTGTTTTGAAAAGTGCTTTATAAATAACGCAATATAACCTTATTATCACCCCTTTAATTAATTAATAACCCAGAAAAGGACAGCATTAATTACATAAACTTCTACCTTTCGACAAAAGCAAAACTTGCCTCCAATATTAGTGGACAACCATGAACATTTTAAAAGATATGATATATGACACATATGAGATAATTTGCCCATCAGAATAGAGTTTTTGATATGCTAAAAGAAACAAACAAAAAAACAATGCTTGGATAATGAACACTACTAACACGAGAACGAGTCAGTCATTACAACGACGATGTAGGCCCAAGTCCGAGTGTAGTAATGTTTTTTCCCCACTCGATGGTGCCATTTACTCAAATCTGAAGCCGGATCTGTTTCAGCCACGGACAGTCTGGTCTCAGCACTGCAGATGTGATAGAGACCACTAATGTGAACATAATGGCCACAGCTTTCATAAAGGCATGGCAGGCAAGTTTATTTGTATAGCACAGTTCAACAACAAGGCAATTCAGAGTGATTGACATAAAACATAAAAGCAACATAGGGAAATAATAAAAGGGGAATAATAAAAAAGACATTGAAATACAATATATAAAAAGAGTTAATAGAAAATAAAAATAAAGGGATCATTCATGATGATATTCAGTGATATAAGGTTGGTACGTTTCACCAGTGGCTTTATTGTCGTGTTGTAATTGATTTACAGTTTGTATTGCCACAATTATTATTATTACTTATTATTTGTTTTATGTGTTTATGCATTTAATTTAATTATCAATAAATATGGTCAATTCTTTATGCATTTTTTTAAACAGAAAAGGTTTGAAATTGTGCACTTCTTCACAGCACACTGCATCCAATTTGTTGTGTAGGCCTTTAACTTATATGAGCGGTCGCATTCAAAATAAGTGAAATGGTCATATTTAAGAAAGGTTGCAGGCTATTTTTGGTGGCCAGATAATTTAATAGGTATTTTTGCAAGTCCGATATTTGTTTTTTTGCAAATTACTTTACTTTAATGAAAGCTCGGGTAATTCAGTATTTTGCAGCAAAAGAGTCCCTGCAGTGACACCACAAAGCAACTATTCCTACCATCAGAGAGCATCATGAGAAAATGAACTCGGCATTGAAGTAAAAATCCTCCATTCATGTTATACTTGAATGTATGGCCCTACAGTGAAATGCAAAAAGGGTCTCTGCAACCTGTTAGTGGATAGGCTGCGATATGCAGCAAAAAGGCCCACAATTCGTTTCATTACACATACAACGCATATGTCGTCATGTGTTTTGCAATTAATTGGGCACACCTATTTACTTATCTCAGTACTTTAGTTTCCCTGTCCAGTCATTGTAAATCAGTGATTGGGACTCCAGTGCAACATGCACTCACCAGTATACACCTAACCCTGTATTGTCATTCCTATAATTTCCACTCATGTAGTAACTGTTGCTAGTAGTTATATTTTTATTTCCTTTGCACAGATATAGTCTACATGACTGATCCCTATCATTTAACATGGATGTGAACCTGGCCGGGGATGGGCCAGTGTTTGGATCTCCATGCGGATGTGACATTTCAGAGAAGAGCGCGACCGCCATTTTGAGATTTACCTCAGACTCAACACATCACAAACCACGGGAGGAGCGGACTGAGAGCCACACAGCACAGGCTAACGTTGTATGACCGGGCACATTCCTCATCAGAAACAAGAGGTTAGCTAGAAATGCAACGAGGTGCCGCTGTTTGTCGTTTATCGTGATTGGGGCGGTTTGGGGGGGAATTGGTTTATGTCGGGTCGTGGCAACTCTCGTCTCTGTGAACTTCCAAATCAACATTAGTGCTATTCCGTATTGGAAACTGGTTTGAATGGATAGCTTTTTCTTACGCTCTCCCCCAGACGAGGGACAATCGGAGGAGCACACGGACTGGGGATATCGTAGGCAAAGTTGTTGAATGTGTATCTATAGCAAATGAGCCTTTGTTTTCATTGTTGTTGTACCAATATCACCAGTTGGCTGGCTTGTAGTAACGTTAGCTTAACGCTAGCTATAAACAGGGTATTTATTCCTCAAGGTGCAGGTCGTGCTGTGCGTTGTTTTATTGCCCCATATTTCCCGGGGTAAAGACGGATTGATTTAGCTAATTTCAGCGGGCCTCCCTCCTCGGAGCCCTGGTCCATCCATCACACCCCCCGTCGTCAGCCAGCGACTCGCACCCACCAAAGGCGCCGAGATTGGGCGAATAGCGAGCAAATACGTCCGCGTTTCTCTACCCGCCCCCCCGCCGACCTCCCCTCCTCATTCCCCGGCGCTGACAGCGGACAAGGCCGAGGTCGCGACAGAGCAGGCCCGGCCGCCGAGGCTCGACCTGTCTACCCCACCTTCGCATCCTACCACACCTCACCAGCAGTCCAGAACCCGGTTCTCAACCGAGCCGACCCTGGACAAGGTCGAGGGTAACAGAGATAGCAGGGAGTCCCGCATCACAACCACAACAACAACAGTTGCCAACATGAACCACCACCATCACCACACGCAGCAGCAGCAGCAACAGAAAGCCGGCGAGCAGCAGCTCAGCGAACCGGAGGACATGGAAATGGAAGGTAAGTAATGGACCCAAGAAGGGGGACCTGACACTCTACAACATTTTATTCATATTTGAACATCTGCACGAGAAATGCATGGAGTTTTATTTGTGCAAGCGCAGCTCAACTTTACAGTAAACACGAAGGCCCGAAGCTAGCTAGGATAGCCGCCGGTTGCATTTTTGCTGATTGTGCGTCCGTTGCAGCAGACTTGTGTGGAGCTGACCTCATTTTGCGTTATAAGGGAACGGAGCTTGTATTTTTCACCATTTGCTTGCATTATTAAATTGCTTAAGCTGGTCAACCCACTGTTAGAAATTAGCCACACAAATCATTCATTCGGATCGGCCACTGTATTTCTAAATAACCATTTTGATCCCGTTCGTTCGCTTGTTTAACAACTTATCAGTTGTAGTTTGCTTAATCGTCGCCGTTTAGAACCCACTGAATATAATTCCAGAAGCTAAATATTTGTAAACAGTGTGGCTTTTAGCATTTAACATTGAACCATCGCTAGATAAATTAATTTCGACACCTAAACTTCACTGTGGGTTTAGGGTTCATTTTGACAGGTATCGGCACCTGCGTTTCTATTCCGCGAATAAAGTAAAAACAGCTTTACTATTCCAACTGATAACGTTCAAATATATCCCGTTGATAACCGTTCAACATGTAACGTTACGCCAGTATTTCTGAAAGATCGTGTGTTAGCATCGTGTCGGGTGGCTTGTACATCAAATGCGGGCCTGCAAAGTAACTATATCGGTTAACTGCAGGGTTAAATCAGTCAGTTTGCCCCCTAAAACGCAAAGTCTATAAATGTTTGTGGTTAATGTTTGTTGTAAATACGTTTAGTGTGGACTATGCCGGGTATCTGATGTATTACCCGATGTGTTCATTAAGATGGTAAAACGTAATGTAAATTGATAGCGGGACAGCTAATTGTGAGCTAGTCACTTAGCATCCAAGGCCCACGTCCTTACGTGAATTTTCTGGCTAGCATGCTAGTTAGCTGTTCAGCTAACGCTCACGGAGGGGGTGTGTGGCGTTCCAAAATGGTGGCTGTATTTTGCAACGTTCAATTTGGCGATTGCTCGAGTGTTAGGCCTTGAATATCTGCCTCACGTAATCTAGTCTTTTTACAATTGTTTCCATTTGCTGTTTTAACGGTATAATGTACTTAGTGTGGTTGATGATTTTCTCTAGCATTAATTCTAGCTTGTTAGCTGTTACTAGTGATTCCAGCTAATGTTAGCCATTAACGGCCTGCAACTGAATCTGTGGCTAGTGTTTGCTAGGTAGCTAACGCTAACGTAGATGCGTCAATCGTGATTTGCTGAATTGACTGTGGCAACGTTTTAACAAGTTTAGTCATTCAAGTAAAGCAGACACAGCGAAACACCGAATGTAAATTGTGCTTTTGTTTGGTTGTTTTAGTTCCCATGTTGACGTTTGACAGGGTGTTATGTTGAACGTGCGGCAGTGCTGGCAAGTAACAGTAGTCGCCGCTGCGGTAAGCCAGGCCCGCACAGGGACAGCGCGGGGATTTGCTGCTTCATTGTATGGAAGACGAAACGGCATGGAGCTCGCCATTTTTAATGATTTGTGTTTTTGTTAGTAAGGTTTGGAGTCAGGACCACCACTATTAGCGTTTAGTAAGCGCTTTACACGCAATAACCCCTGCCCCACCACCATTTTATAAAGTTTTTACTAATGTCAACTTTGGACAGAGGCGAGGCTTGTGGTAGCCCTCAGCATCACTGCGTCATTCAGTCGTAGTGATTTTATCATCTGCTCACACGCACTATGTTGCTTGTTATCCGGCAGCATACAATATATAGCTTATTTTATGTAATTACAGAAATAAGCAAGTAGAAACAGCCCAGTTGGTATTTACATTTTTCAGTAATTAATTTTAATACTTTTCTTACTAGTAGCAGGTGCACTCACCAGACTTCCCCATCCCTTAGTTGCTGGGTCATCCTTGTTGGGATCTCTCCCAGTGCACTGCAGCCTTAGGACAGTGAAAACAAATTGACAAAATAAACTCACTTTTTTTCTTACTCCTTACAGCAACACATACCACGTTTTTATTTATAGGATAAGGCTCTGCACAGTTGCAGTGGGGTTAATCCATTATCTGCTCTGAATAGCTGTCATTTTATCTGTTTTGCCATAGCAATGTTACTAGGATGCCAGGCTGTTGATGCCACACAATCAACACAGTGTTTATGCCTGTAATGGCTCTCACATGTAGGACGATATGGATATTTATAGAAAACAAACATTATACTATTTGTCAAAAGAAACCATTGATATAAACAGATTTCTATAATATGACAAGATTAAGAGCTAATATTGTATGCTAGAAATGAACAGTTTTAAAGTCAGTGCTTCATTCATGATATATTTCTTCTTCGTGTACCTTTACTGCATCGGTCAACATTCGGAAAGTAGAGAAACCCAGTGTGGTATAATGGATCAAACAACATTTTAATATTTTTAGTACCAAGTCAGTGTAACAGAATCAGCTATGAAGTTATAACCTTGTTGCTGTAGGTTAAACACACACCTAGAGTTGTTTTTCTGGTCTACAGTTACTGCTGTAGTGCAACCATAACAGGTATTCAGATCAACTACTGTGATGCTTTTTGGAAAAAATATATATTCATAAATAATGAAATAGTCTGTTGAGATGCTAGTGATTTTTCCTTTCCAGACACCTGCATAGTTTAAGTGACGTCTACATTACGTCTGCATTAGGCCTTTTGCGGCAGTTTTGGCCAATGTAAAATCTTACATCCAGCTTTGACTCGTGCAGATTTCAGTGTCTGTGTCTGATACATTAGTACACACTTCTCAGAGGTTTCAGAATAGATCTACAGAGTGGGCAGGACAAGAAGTTGTCAGGTAGTTGACTGACAGACCACATTAACAGCGTGTAATCCACTTGAGGAAACGAGGTCAGTCTCCTGTAGGACTTGGTCAGTAACATTACCTGGAGACACACACACACAACTGACACCACTGCGTTTGTCAGCTTGGAGGAAGACCAGGAACACGCATACACATAAAATACAGTGTGAGAGACAAACTGACACATCAACACATTTCCGTACATCTTCCAGGGTGTTCATTTCAATGCCGGCGTCATGCTCGAGTGCTTCTGTGGCATCACAGGATCCAGGTCGATTTCACTCACTCAGAGTTTGTCTGTTTGTCATCAGTGTGTTTTGATAGATAGATAGATCAGACCTTGCACTGCGGCGTCTCATTATTCAGCAGGGATAATTGTTGTCCTATGTGCGCATGTGGTTTTTGTTTGAGCGATGACTTGCAGCCTTATCCTGCATTGTGTCCATAATTACGCAGCCTACTGTAATGTTGCATGATCTGTGTCACACACACTCACACACTCTGCTGCCCTCACTCTGGCACACAGACTTGGAAAGAGGACGAGTCATGTTGTCTCAGCCGGGGTTTCCCATCAAAATGTATAAAAGGGGAAAGGAAGGATCACTGTGTGGAGATGCAGGAGATAGAGATGAAGATAGTAGTTGCTGCATTACTTTTATCCAATCTTGATGCTGTTTTAAAGTATTGATCTTAATTAACATTAATAGTCTGTCCTGGTCTTTAAAGGGATAGGTATAGTCAAGAAACTAGACAAAATAAGTAACGTGATTAATCTTCCCTCAAATTTCCACAACCAAAGGATCTCATATAAATTGCATTAGCATAATTATAAAAGTTTGAGTTGTACTGATTTTGTTTATTTATATTTTCTAGAAATAACACGGTTAAACATTAGGTAAGAATTTAAGATTGCCTGTTGTAAGCACAACTTTTAGTTTTAAGTGTTTATTGCTGTTGCTCGATCATGATTGGTAAACATGGATGAAAATTAATAGAAATGTGAGAGGAAGCCTTATGTGTGACTTGTATTTTCACTCTTGATGCCATATTTTATTGATGTTGGCAGGATAATTTTGACCTGCTGAAGTCACGTAGTTAGCAACGCAGAGGCTTCAGCCAGCTTTCCTCCAGTGACAGAAAGTTCTCTTCCCATGTTATCCATGCTAGAACCCTACTATGCATACAGTCTTATCATATTTTTTCTCTCTCCCTACAGCCGGGGACACAGACGACCCTCCAAGAATCCCGGCCAACCCAGTGATCAATGGTAACGTGGCCATGGCAGATGGACACAACAACACAGAGGAGGACATGGAGGATGGTGAGGACTGTGTGCGCTTACACAAACACACGCGAGTACAAACACTTAACACTTCCGCTTGTTCTCTGAAAGAAATTGTTGTAAGTATTGACCCAGGTTGAACATCATCATGGGGATGACTCAGATTAATTCCCAGTGTAGTAGTTAGTCTCACACTGGGTTTTAGAAAACATTTTTTATTAGGATGGAAGATGGAAATCTTTAAGCACCTCACGATTCGATTCAATTACGATTCAGAAGGCTACGATGCGATTATTAAATGATTATAATTGATTATTTTAAGTTTTTAACATTAATTTCTATATAGGATATATTTTTCTGACTGTTGATTACTTTTGCATTTTTAAAGCATATTATTTGATGATCTAGTAGGTAGTGATGACATGCAGCTAATTAGCCATACTTCCTATAAATGTAGCGTTACACAGCAGCCAACAAATGTACTGTTAGCTTTCCTGTTTAATTTCACCAGTGTTTAAAGCCATGGGGAGATGTTTGCTAACGTTAACCGCCTTCACTTTCCATCAGTTGGGGAAACAACAGACAAATTTTTAGTAACACATTGTGACCTACACGGTAAGTTTACTACCACACTGACAACTTAATGCTAATCTTTAACTCTGATACGCTCGCTTTCACCGCCAATTTCTGCCACCTCTGCAACGGCGGTGTGTGTCTCTGTTATGTGGCGCCCGGGCGCTGCACTTCAGAGATGTGCCTTTTATGTTCTGTTCAATCAATTGACATTTGGAAAATTGATTTTTAACATTTGTAAATCGATTCAGAGTCGTCCATGTCCTACTTGCGATGCATCTAAGAATCCCTTTCTCATTTTCTCTCTACTGATCAGTTGCACCGGGTCTTGTCAGTGCAAACTGGAGGAAATCTGTTCCCCCGTTCACCATCTAACTTGCCCTGTCTCCTTCCATCTTTCCACAGACACCAGTTGGCGGTCAGAGGCGACTTTCCGCTTTGTCGTAGAGCGCTTCAGCCGCCTGAGTGAGTCGGTGCTCAGCCCGTCCTGCTTTGTCCGAAACCTTCCATGGAAGATAATGGTGATGCCGCGCTTCTATCCCGACCGGCCACACCAGAAGAGCGTGGGCTTTTTCCTGCAGTGTAACGCAGAATCTGACTCCACGTAGGTGTCTTGGTTGGACAGGGGATTTGGGGGACATCGCAGAGACACTCAGACACACAGCAAAAATCTTTAGATGGTCCTGGCGCACATACCCCTAGATATTGTTAAATGGACAGTTTCGATTGTAATGCATTTAGTGCTGATTTATTTAAAGATAATTATCAAATTACTGAATATGGATCTGTAATTTCTGAGTGACCACTCACAGGTTTTGCTGCTTTGAATGACACTGTATACAGTCTGAACACTGTAAAGGTTTAAAAGTTACACAGTAAATATTGCAGTAAAACATTGACATGGTGCAACATATTTTCCCTTTTTTTAATGATTGACATTACTAGACTCTGAGGAATATTCAGTAAATATGTGCTTTACTGCCTCTTTCCCCTGATTGGTACTTTTCATTGACCATGTCCAGGTTTATTTTCGAACCGTCTTGTCTTTAGAAAGTAGTTTTGGTCGAAACTGAAAGATGTCGGAACCTCCCAGATACAGAAATAATAGTTTAATTAATTATACACAGATACCCGCATCTCTATTAATAATGCAGTTTCTTGGCTGCGCCATCTACGATTTAGGTGTGTTTAAATGGATGGGGTGAACACTTGTGCAGTCAGTGGTTGTGTTTTGAATTTACATCAGTTTTTAGACACATTTGTTTCTAGAAGGATTTTTTTTTTTAAAACCTCTTTTTAGTTTCATTGCAAAGGGCAATCCTTATGACCAGATCTTCTAGTCGAGTAAAAGTGCTTTGTATACCTCAGTGGCTTTTTAGTGACACATGAAAGGAAGCGAAATTACCTTTGAGGTCCCATCACCTTGTAATTCCCCCTCGTTTTGTAATGCTTTTTGATAATGGTATTGGTTATTGTTATGCTGCTTACTTGGCTCACCATTTGCCACAGGTTGTTTGAGTTGTGCTACATTATAGATGCAATAAATCAAGGTCACAGTTCACTAACATGCACGGCCAGTCATTCAGGCCAAAATGAAATAATGTTAATGTTTTGAGCGAGGCCTGGAGGGGTGGCATTTCAAAAATCTAGTATCTCTTGCTAATTTCTCCAACCTGGCCTACCCCAGCTTTAAAGCTTTATCATAATCTTTATGCTAGGGGTGTGACAGTAGACCTGCGCGTTTTGCCAGGCGAGCTAATATTGTTTAAAAAAGTCATATGTGTGCATCCCCACCATATGCTTTGCTGAAACGTGTTTAAAATTTACTGGCTGAGAATTTTCTTGAGCTGGCCAGTGACCACACAATAATTGCACTGTATGTGAAACACAGGGTCAAGTTTATAATTTCTTATGAACACTCATCAGCTAATACTTCCTCCAATGCCAGCACTGCTCCTTAACAATACCATATGTTAAATTTGAAACTAGATCCACATCTTTATCAAATTTATACACCTCATGGGATACATATGTCAGAATTCCAGGAAGTATAGAAGAAATCCTTTTGATTCCTGGAACCTGCTCTGGTGTTTCAGGTCCTGGTCATGCCACGCGCAGGCAATGCTGAAGATCATCAACTACAAAGATGACGAGAAGTCCTTCAGCCGCAGGATCAGTCACCTGTTCTTCCACAAAGAGAATGATTGGGGCTTCTCCAACTTCATGTCCTGGAGTGTAAGTACAGAAACTGCCAGAGAGATATGTTATTTATTTAGACTGGACAAGAACCACCAAAGAAACCCTTGTTGAGTAGACACACGTATGAAACTTAATTTTGATTTATTTGTTTCTTGGGTGGATAAGAGGATAAACTGGCAGAGCTGTTTACTTTTTGTGCAGCTTAACACTTTTGGCTCATTGTCTATTTGGACCTCTGTGAGTAAAAATGTGCTTTTACTTCTACACATTCTGGTTATACTAACTGTTTGGGTGGTGTTGTGTTTCAGGATGTGACTGATCCGGAGAGGGGCTTTGTTGATGATGACAAAGTCACCTTTGAAGTCTATGTCCAGGCAGATGCCCCACATGGAGTGGCGTAAGTAGCTCTTAATTTTCATTTTCTCTTTTCTCTCTGGGTTGCCCTTACTGCTATGGTCCCATGTTTGGTTTTCTCTGTTTAGGCTTTATGAACTATAACCCCTAACATCAGCTTTCTCTCTGTAACCAGCTGGGACTCCAAGAAACACACAGGCTATGTAGGATTGAAGAACCAGGGAGCAACTTGCTACATGAATAGCCTCTTACAGACGCTCTTCTTCACCAACCAGCTAAGACGGGTATGATTTTTCTTTTGTATGAAAAGAAGAGTGTATTTTAGTTCTAATATAGGCTGAATATTGAAATTGTATAGTGAAATTCACAATCGGCATGTGTAGTGTATGCTGCTCTGTTTTGCTGCTTTTCCTACTAGTTTTTTATTAATGTTGTTCTACAGCTGCTGATTTTTGTTGTAGCGCTGCTATCACTTTCACTAGATGATGGTGGGTTTTTTTATTTTTTATTTAATATTTAATTCACTATAGTCTCAGTGCCGTTTCATAGCTTTTTCTAGCAGTAGGTTTAAAAATGTGTGGATTTTATTTGTTATGAAAATAATGTTTAAATATAGTACGTCTTCACAAAACAGTGAAAATTAGTAACTGCAAATCCAAGAGTATTACTTTCTAAAACTCCTAATCTGGGTGTGAATCCTCCCGACTCTCTTCCCAGGCGGTGTACATGATGCCCACAGAGGGAGATGACTCGTCCAAGAGCGTTCCACTGGCTCTGCAGAGGGTTTTCTACGAGCTGCAACACAGCGACAAACCCGTCGGCACCAAGAAACTCACCAAGTCCTTCGGGTAGTGTAGACTTTCTTTTTTGTCTTCACGTGACACAGAATGGCCTTGACTCATTTTGAATAACATCAGAAAGATCTTGGCACTACTTTGTAGGATGTTACCTGAAGTTAGGATCAAGAGTGAGAAATAACTAGGGTTGGCTCCAATGTCATTTTTTGAGCTTTGAAGCTTCGACAGTAATTAACAGCGAATAATGGAAGCTTCGACAGTGCCGTGGAATGGGGGGTGGGGGTCCGTTACTGGTGGCGTTACGCCAGTTGTAAGCTGGCATTAATTTCACGAGATACAGCTATGTATTTTATAGATTACAGCAGAACAACAAAAGGATAAATGCCCAAAAAGTTTTGGCAATGGCATGAGTGAGGGAGAAACCTGACGGGGGCGAGATAATGAACGGCGGTCACTGACTGTGTGTACGTCTGTGTGAGAGAGAGAGAGGGAGCGCTTCGTTTCTTTTTTTACAATTATTTTATATAATAAAAGCACATTATTACCAAAAAGTTGTTTAACTTTTCTCGCTGCTAGGCTAGTCCCAAGTGCAGGATTAAGAGAGGCAGGAGACTGGAGTTGGATAAAATGCGTTGATGTGTTCATTGTTCGTGTTCAGATGTTTTACACTTTAACACTGTTAAATATTTTTTTATTTATCATATTATAAATATTACTAGTCACTCATCTTTCCTGCTCTGTAAGTATTATATCTAACTGCTTTGTTTTGTTTGTTTTTTTTTCCCCCTGTGTGTAGATGGGAAACACTAGATAGCTTCATGCAACATGATGTACAGGAGCTGTGTAGAGTGGTGAGTTCTCTCATACTCAAAGAATGTCGGTGCGAATGCATGCTGAATTAAGTATTAACTTAATGTGTGCTTGTGTGTGTTCCAGCTCCTGGACAATGTGGAGAACAAAATGAAAGGCACTTGTGTTGAGGGAACCATCCCTAAGCTCTTCAGAGGAAAGATGGTGGTATGTTTTCTGTCTTTGTACCTCTCCCCGTCTGACTTGTCATTACGACTACGGTCACATATTGTGTAGTTTGTTTGGAAGTCACCCGTCTAACCTGAGTTAAATTTTTTAAAAGACATGTCTTTTGAGGGAGATGCATCCTGTTTGTCTTGAAGGTTTTCAGTCTTATTTTGCACAGTAATGCCAGCTCAGCATGCATTGTGTTAATGCTGCTGTAGATTTTGTGAACACGCTGACGACGTGAAGTCGGAACAGGATGTAGCCTGGAACAAAGTCAGTTTAAAAATAGAAGGAGATTAAATCAAGAAGTGGCCCTCTTAGAAATTATGTTTTTGACTTTGCCAGTTGTATCATACAGTCTGACCCCTGTGTGTGCGCGTGTGTGTTACTCTCCAGTCATATATCCAGTGCAAGCATGTGGACTACCGGTCAGAGCGGATAGAGGATTACTATGACATCCAGCTTAGCATAAAAGGAAAGAAGAACAGTGAGTAGCAACATCAACACAACGTCGTGGCTTTTCTCAAACAGTGGTGATGCTGCGCCATCAGTTTCTGATTATGAAGTTACAAATATAGAAGTTTTCTTGATCTCATTTATGCTTTCTGCTCATTTCCAGTCTTCGAGTCATTCAAAGATTACGTTGCAACTGAACAGTTAGATGGAGACAACAAATACGACGCAGGAGAGCATGGCCTGCAGGTGAGGCTTCACAGTGACTGGATCTACATTATTATGTTATTAGGTTGTTCTGTTTTATTTATTTTTCGTATTTTTCAATTGGTCTTGTGAGTTAATATAAGCCCAACATTTTACTGCTAAAGTATGGCCCTGTTGACTTTGTAATATAAATTGGAAAACACTTTATAATGCAGGTTGTTTTTTTCTTGTGACCTAAATGGATATGTGGTCTAAAAAGAAATTCTGATGCATGCTACCTCACTGTTGACATGGAGGACAAGTAGGCACAATAATAAAGACACATATCTGGCTAGAGAGGACAGTAAGACTTGAAAAATGTGTATGGGTCAAAATTCTGGTTAAAGTAAGTTACGAACTTGCTGCTAACCTCAAGGTTTGGAGAATGAATGTCAATGGGATGTCCTGACCAGATGCCTGACATGTTTGTTTGCGCTGCAGGAAGCAGAAAAGGGCGTGAAGTTCCTCACCTTCCCTCCAATCCTTCATCTGCAGCTGATGAGGTTCATGTATGACCCACAGACCGACCAAAACATCAAGATTAATGACAGGTAGATCAAACACACCAGACCTCGCTCTCACACACTAACATGTTCAGTCTTTACTTATTATGCTTACTTGTGTGTTACTGTACAAACGTATGCTGCCTGCTTGAATTAGATCTCCCTCTGTCACACTCACACGATGCGTCAGTGGCTGCCGCTTGGGACATCCTTTTAGAGGCGGTCTGGTCCATTTTAACGTAGTTTAAAGGAGAGGTCTATTTCCAGAAATGGCACTTGAGCCTCTCTGAACAGCGTGCCCTGACCTCCTGCACTAAGTCAGTGAGAAAGTGAGTCATTGAGAGTGTTTCCTGTAGGCTGTATCATTCTGTGTAAAGCTTTGTGGGAGCTAATGATGCTTAAATTAACAATCCACCAGGATAATGTGACAGTTTCCAATCACGCATACATGCACAGCATCCAGAATAGCTAATTTTCCTCTGTAGCGTCTCAACAAGCTGTGAGTCATCCTTGTGACGCTGCCACTGGCACCTGGCCCCCTGAGGGCTTTGTATATGTATATACACACACACACACAATGTGCAGTGGCAGTTGAACTTGAAACATGGCAGCTTGAAGTCTTTCTTTCTGTATGTTGCATCTTTTTTTTTTATATTTGAGACCCTTCCTTTCATTCCTTTATTTTTCCCTTCCTTTCATTCCTTTATTTTTCCCTTCCATTCTTCATATCTTTATTTCTGCACCCATCCTGTCCTATTTATCCTATTGCCTTTCTCTCCCATTTTCTCCTGCCTGGTATCTCCTCTCCAATCTCTCCCTCCCTGCTTCTGTAATCCTTGTTTTCCACCCCCCCCCATCACTACCCCTCTCCTCATCTCCACGCTTTGTCTTACTAACCTCTCTGCTTCTCCTTCTTCCTCTTTCCTCAATAGGTTTGAGTTTCCAGATCAGTTACCCCTGGATGAGTTCCTTCAGAAGCCAGACTCCAAGGACCCAGCCAACTACATCCTGCATGCAGTGCTAGTGCACAGCGGGGACAACCATGGCGGTCACTACGTCGTCTATCTTAACCCAAAAGGAGACGGCAAAGTGAGTGTCAAGGAACCAATAGTGAGGACAATTTTTTTTATACACCTTACACCCAGAAATTGCATGTTTGTGGTATTTGGTTTTGAAAGCATTTCATGGTGATTTAAGTGCTCTGCTTTTCTCTTTTTCTCCCGTCTCCTTCCCTTTTGCTCCATCCTTGCCCAATCCTCCCATCTTATCCTTTCCCTCCCCTATCCTCCTCCTCATCTCCGTTTGACCGCACCCATCTCCCTTTCACAACTTCCACCGCCCTCTTTCTCTATCGTGCTTTCTCTTTTTCTCCAGTGGTGTAAGTTTGATGATGACGTTGTGTCGCGATGCACCAAGGAGGAGGCCATAGAGCACAACTATGGTGGACATGACGATGACCTCTCAGTGCGCCACTGCACCAACGCATACATGTTGGTCTACATTCGTGAGTCCAAGCTCAGTGAGTAACATACTCCCTCTCCTTCCTTTTACTATAAAATTTTTCTTTTATTTAAAAAATTGCCTTATTTTACTGTCTTGGTGACTATGTTAAATACATGTTACTGTATTGCACTCTGCTCACTTGCGCCTCTCTCTGTTTCCCAGGTGAGGTGCTCCAGCCGATGACTGACGTGGACATTCCGCAGCAGCTGGTGGAGCGTCTGCAAGAGGAGAAAAGGGTGGAGGCTCAGAAGAGGAAGGAGCGCCAAGAGGCTCACCTCTACATGCAGGTTCAGGTAGGAAACCAGGACTGCTGTTTAAGTGCTGTGATGCGTTGCAGACTCAGTGTGCTTTGGTGGCTGTTTAATTTTAGAAACGTGCTGGTGCAAGCTGCTTAGTGCAAATAGAAAGAGTATACACAAGAAACCTAAGTGCTAACTCGTCTTTATTAAAGTTTTACAGACAGGGAAGTATACATACAGAAGTACAGTAGGAAAGTACAGTGAAGCTTCCCTGTTTTGTTGCAGTGCTCTACAGCTGGCAACGTATGATGGCGATTTAATACGGTTACTCGTTGGCTTAGGAAACATCATGCTTAACTTTTGAACTTTTAAAAGTGAATGCTTAATTTTTTAATAATTATTATATATACATGAACCCAAAAATCCCACATCACCCATGAAATAAGAAATTGTAAATTTTTTTTTTAAACTTGTTAACGTAAACAGCATCTTAGAGTGACAGATAATGACAGCAGCGCTGTCTCTCTCCTGGTTTAGTACTTTGGGTTGGGGCAGGTGAGCTGCCATATGTGGAGGAGGGGGGCTCAGCAGGTGACAGGTGAACTACTCATGTTGACCATAACTCGTTACGTTGCATAAGGCTGACGTTCAGCTGTAGCGTTCTGTCGGGAGATGCAGTGTCTTGAACCAACAGCGAGTAAGAAAAGTAGGAATATTATGTCATTTGTTAAGGTATGAGTAGAAGAAAGGTCTGCTATAGCCGCTAGGCTAATTTATGCTGTGTAAAATGCCGTAGGCTTAACCTAATAATGATGACCAACAAGTTAAAGCAGCGTAACCCCTGGTCATCTTGGCTCGAGTGGAGTTGAACTTGCCACAGCCTGGCTGAGAGTGACTTTGGGCTTTTAGGGAGGGGCAGGAGCCACCACCGTAAAGGGCAGGGCTGCGCTGGATTTATAACACAAGGCAACAAACATGAGAGCATCACTGTGAAACAGAATGCCACACAACAATGTTTTACTTTGATTATTTTGTTTTCATAATTGTTGGCAGCCAAAATTGTTATTCAAAATTAAAATTTGATTAATTTCACAGCCCTAAAATGAAGAAGTGTGCAAGGGTGCAGGACTGATTTTGAATTGAGATGGGACAACACACGTTATGAGTTGCCTTTGATATGACCAGACAAAGGTCTTGATGTATAATCTATCCTGCCAAATATTTTTCTGTAAACATATGCCCCATGAGCAAGATTAGTGTGAAGCTGTGAAAATACTTCCATTCAAAACAGATTAAAATACACAAAAAATGGCAAGACCTGTAACGGGTATGCATTGACACCTCATTAATACAATTTTACCTTTAAATAAAAAAAGAACAGTCTTCAAATAAGCATATTACATTTAGGCTATACGTTGGTGGACCTGTGGTTTTTATTGTGACACATAGGGCTGCAGCTAACGATGATTTTAGTATTGGAAGCTTCTATAGATTATTTCAACGATCCATTGATGCGTCGTTTAAGAAGTACTTTTTGCTTGGTGGCGGCGGAGCTGACAACAGCTATGGCACCCAACGCTGGTTTCCAAACCACTTTTATCAAGAAAACACACGTGAAATGTGAAACGTGAAATGAGCGATCCTGCACACGAAACAGCTGTTTGTTATTATAAAGATGGAAATTATAAAGACAAAGAATATGGTTGAAAGGACGGATTAGTACATGCAGGTAGCAGGGATTGTCTGAGCTACAGAGAGAGCTGGAGGGGAGTTAAAAGGTGCAGCTCCCCGACACCCAGTTAACTCTTGACTGTGAGGTTACAACTCACGGCCCAAAAAGGAGAACAAACGCACGTGTGCACATTTTCAGCTGAGGACTGCGGCTTACTTTGGCTAGCCTTCAACTCAACAATCAATCATGATTTCAGTTAAATGCTAAAGTTACTGTTACCTTGTCTGTGGTCCGCTGGCAGAATACCGGCTGCTTTCTGATAAGGCGTCGTCGTGCTGTTGCCGAGGTGACAAAAGTTTTGTTTTACGGTGGACGGACGGTAACATTACAGAGTTGTTGTTTTCTTTAGCTTGAAATAATCCCATACTATGGATACTTTCTTCTTTGTCCCTCAGTGTTTTCTCTCTCTTCCCCCACTTTGCAAACAGCTCCATCATATTCACGTCGTGTTCACAGCGTAAACGCGATGTGTGACAGTAATAAATGTGCTGTAAAATTACATGGATTAAACGAAGCATCGATGCAAAGAATTTGTCGAAGCATTTTATGAATCGATTTTAATTGATTAATCGTTTCAGCCCTAGTGGCACATTCTTCAAGTAGCAGTCTGCTCCCTTCTGTTAAGCTGACTCCACAGTTTTTCTCTGGCTGAGGGCTGTCTATATCTGTCAGCCGCAGACAAGAACGTAGGTACTCTAGCTGAGCTGTGGCAGCCACAGTGTGGTTGAGATGGCGAGTGATAATGAGGAGACGGCTTGTTTAAAGATAAGCGAGGTTTATCCTGTTCAAGATGTCAGCTGCTCTGTTTATATTATTTGGCTATGTATTAAGACAGGGCAACAGAATAATTCCTCTTTATTACTTTTTTTCCCAGAGAGACAGAGGTGAAACAAATGTCAGTAAGGGGTGCATTTGCGATAACTCCAGCGTACATTATCCTTATAATTCTGTAGAGGACACTCTTATTTGTTTCAACTAAACTCAACATCGGTTAGTTTTTTTTCTTTCATAAATGTCACAAAGACAATGTTTGTTGTAACTTATTTGTTAAATGCTCAACAAGGAAATATACAATTTCCACCACACAGACAAAATACACTGTAGTAGTTGTTTTGTGTGTGACAAAATGTCCCACTAAGACAAAATCTGCATTTAGTTTGTGACTGACTGATAGTTTTGATTAAAAAATGCCCTGCATCAAGTTTGTGCAAATGTCTAGCTATTGTACTCTCCTGTGTTTTTGGTTCTCTTTCTCTTCATGTCTTGGTTCCTTGTCCAGTTTTACTGTTGATCACTAAGGTTGTTTTCTTCCTCCTCTGGACAGATGGTGACAGAGGACCAGTTCTGTGGTCACCAGGGCAACGACATGTATGATGAGGAGAAGGTGAAGTACACAGTCTTCAAGGTCCTGAAGAGCTCTACGCTGCAAGAGTTTGTCCAGAACCTCTCCCAGACCATGGTGAGAGACTCAAGTGTGTGGGGGGTGGGTATGGGTGGGTGTGTGTGTGTGTGTGAGGACAAAACAGTGGAGTGTGTGTGTGTGTGTGGCTTGATGTTTTACCATGAAAGCCTACAGACCAATCTGCAACCTCCGGGGCTGATAAATGAAGCCAACGCAGAAGTGCCAAAAACCACCGTTCCCTCAATCCCCATAGACCGCCATGTTCAAATGCCCAGCTTTACAGCAGAAATAAACATGTTTACAGCCTGGTACAAAGAACGGTTTTGGTCAACTAGTTGCCCCTTTCATGACATCTGTGCAGGTAGTGAATTTATAAAGAACACACCTGTTTAAATTAAAGTTATTCATAATTAGGGACGTGGCCATTTTCAGTGACAGGTGGGTGCTGTCACAGGTGACCAGCTGCTAGGTGGTTCAGCAACCAAGCCTCATTCAGCTCGCCTCAGCTCTACCTGCTTCGCCCTTTTTTGGATTAGCTGGAGTCAGGGACTGCCGGAGCCACCTGGACCCGCCCACATTGAGCTTCACAACAGCTCTTCAGAAACTAATGGGTGACGTCACGGAGACTACGTCCTTGTTTTATACAGTCTAAGCTCCAGACTAACTAAGTTGAAATACAGGTATTTCGATTTAATGTCATTTCTAACTTTTGTTGCTTCACATTATTGAAATGTCAACTTGAAAAAGTTTTTTAGAAGAATTGAAAATAATTTAGAATCAATAACGCAGATTTTATATGGTAGTCAGATTACATTTGACTCTCTGCTCTTAATTTTATGCCGTGCCCATTCTGAAACAACTAACATCTGTCTCTCCACGCATCTCCATTGTATATTGAGTCACTGCTGTCATGGCACACACGAGCCTCTGTCTGCGAGAAAAATAATCAGCGTTTGATAAGAGAATACCGTGATGACTTGGGCGAAAATAAACAGCCGAAAAATCTAAATGGTCACAAAATGCAACTAAATGGTTGCAATCTGGAGCCCTGCCACACACTGTAAACTCTTTCATACCCTTTTCTCATTATCTGCTTGATTTGTTTTTCTCGGGTGCTGTTGGTACTTTCCGCTTTTTTGTGATCGTTTTTCGTTCTGCAAATTAAATCAAACCCACCTATTGATTTGCTGCAGGGTTTCCCACAGGACCAGATGAGGCTGTGGCCCATGCAGGCCCGGAGCAATGGAACCAAGCGACCCGCCATGCTCGACTACGAGGCCGACTGCAACAAGTCGGTAAGTGTTTGTGTCTGGAAGACCTGTTTGTGGGTGTAACCTGCAAATGTATTTTTGGTACTCTGACATTTTGGGAAGCATTTTCGTCGTCTTACCGGCACTGAGGTGAGAAGCTACCACTGAATGATTACCCCATCCATCCAGTACAGATAGTTCTGGAGCACGGTTAGTTGATTAAGCAATTAGTCCATTGACAGAAAACTAATAAACAACTATTTTGATGAATGATTATAAGTCAAAGTAATTTTGTCCCCCAAAAATGGGGCTTTTTGTGCTGTTTTCTGACATTTTAGAGATCAAACAATAAATTGACAATTAATAATCTGCAGATGAATCAAAAACAAGAAGAATACGTTAGCACCCTTTAATGAGAGCTGCTGTGTGATGAGGATCCCAGAGACTCCTAGGTCATGATTAATTCCCCCCAAATATTCAAGTCCTCTGTAATGTAATGTTTCAAATCTACCATGCATGTTACAATGACTTGTATACGCACTGGATGTGAATGGATTAGATTTTTGTTTTTGTTCAGTTTGTCCATATGTTCCCTTTTCCGCCACCCTACTGAGATAAAACAAATTCTCAGTACTCAGCTGAAATTTGAGATTTTGAGGTTTGAACTGTGACAGTCAGCAGTCTCTATGTTTTGTATCTTGATTGAGAGTGTTGTCTGAAGTGAATTCTCAGTTAAAAGTTGTTAATTTCCCTCTGTAATGTATCAGCTGTCAGGAAAATGTTCCATAAATAATCAGTCTTGGGCTGTACATGTCGATTAATCTAACGTTTATTTTTTCGATTAGTCAATTAATCTAACGACTAATTTTGTTTATTCTAAAGAAAGAAAAGTTGCCTATTACTCGATTAACATACCAATTTATCCAAAATAAATATCAAAAACATGTCTAATCAATAAATCTATATTTTATTCAATCATCCTGATGAAGTAACTTTAAATGTTTCTGACATGGATTCATTTCAATATTAAGTAATGCAGTATGATAATAAGATGTATTTCTGCATCAGTGAACACCTGAAAGGACTCAGACTGTACAGACAGTCAGATTGTCTGTAATTAGATTCAGCTGTTTTCTCGCTCATCTGTGGCCGTTAAATAAACAGAAAATATGAAACAGCCGATCGTTACATGACTCGCGGTGTAACCATAGACTGGATATGGGTGTAACGTTACGTTACCATGACAGCAGCGGGGCAGAAATTACTTTTAACATGAAGGCAATGAAGAAAAACAACGTGTCCTCGTGCTGATAATGTGCCGTGCTTGTGTGGCGACAGAAAGTAAACACGATTTGCGGTGCTGCAGTCTAGACAAAGTGCTGCAAGATACTTTCGTTTCACGTATTCGTGGACAGCAGCTGTGCTGCAGTGAAGCTGTTTCCAGTTCACATGGAGCAGCACGTTGTTGAGTGTCTGTCTGAAATACTCCAAACTTTAGACAGTCGAAGGCGCGGTCTTGTAGCTGGAGCTGGAGAATCCTACACCGGATGCAGCGACGCACGTAATCGATTACGTCGACGAATCGCCTAAACCCTAAATCAGTCAGTTCACAGAGTCACTGATTCTTAGTGGGTGTGTTTATAACATGAGCCTTTGTGCCCACAAATGCGTACACTAATCTGTCCATGAGCATGTGTTTTACTCTGGTGTTTTTTTTAGTTTGTGAATGTTTGCGTTTCAGATGATCGACTTGAGCGACAATGAGAACCCCTGGACAATATTTCTGGAGACCGTGGATCCAGAGATGGCGGCCAGCGGGGCCACGTTACCTAAGTTTGACAAAGACCGTAAGTCCCACACATCACACCTCATCCAGCTCAGTGTCAGTTTCAGCAGTGTTTCACACATTGTGGCGTTTGATTTAGGGTGACTCAGTTTTAAGAATATGGCAGTGCAGCATCATGTCTGCATCGTTCCTCCATTTGATTTTCAAGGTTTTTATTTGTTTGAAACTGAGTTTGCATTCTGTGTTAGCTTTGTGCTAATGTTTGTTTTAGCACATACATACTGCAACTTTACTAGAAATGCTGTTTCACTAAATGTAATGTTACTTTTTGTAGTAACTGTGTCCTTGTTTGGAGCAATTGTTTTTTGAGTACTCCTCATGAAGCAGGCACTATTTCAGAAGAGCTGCTGTATTTATTATTGTGTGCGTTTTTCTTTTTTAGACGATGTCATGTTGTTCTTGAAGATGTATGACCCCAAAACCAGAAGCTTAAATTATTGTGGACATATCTACACACCTATTTCCTGCAAAATAAGTAAGTGTTGGCCACATCCAAGTTTATTTTAAGCTGGAACACACTGTGCTGTGCTTTGAACTTAAAGATTAAGTCATGTTTCTGTTGCTTTTTCTCCCTGTAACCAGGAGACCTTCTGCCAGTCATGTGTGAGAGAGCAGGGTTTCAGCAGGAAACTAGCCTTATCCTCTATGAGGTGATCTATTTATATAGCGCTCGCTTGCTGGCACATTCCTCTGTCTTTTTTCTCACTTGTTCTCACTCTTCACTCGCTTCTTCACACTTCTCATGCTCTCCTATCTGGCACACAAGCCGTTGTCTCTAACTCCGGTGCACACGCTCACACTGCCATATGCAGCATCTTTTTTTTTTTTTTTTTTTTTTTTTTCTCTCACACTTGCCCTTCTCTAGTTTTGAGTGTTTACACATCCTCAACCTAATATTCTTGTACACATATCAGACGGCTTCACCTTGATTACATTTCCCATGATGCCTTGTTGTGTTACAGGAAGTAAAGCCCAATCTAACAGAGCGGATACAGGACTATGATGTCTCTCTGGACAAGGCCCTGGATGAGCTTATGGACGGGGACATCATTGTCTTCCAGAAGTAAGACTGATTGTGTGTGTGTGTGTAGTAATAGTGGTAGAGTGCAATGATTTTACAAAAGGGATCCCATTTTATTAGTTACACACATGCATATCCTGCTGTCTGTTTAATTTCTGCTGACTGACAGTTGGTTGGGGTAAAGCGCCACCATATGTAGCAATATGCTAACAAACAGAGCAAAACAACAAAGACCACGACGAAGACAACAAGAAAGTAAACGTGAATGTAAACAATGCTAGATTTTAAAGGTGGGGTCTCTGTTTCTAATCCAGTACATGTCTTATTGTCTCCATTCATTATTTGTGTGTCAGGTAACGTTAAATGACCCGCCCACTGACATTCAGCTTACTTTGTAGTTTGCAAAGACATGCTGTTGTGATGTTAGTTATAGTAGCAGGAGAGATGTGAGTATCTCTGTCTGGAGCTGGTGTGCTGGCTCTGGGACCGTCTCGTCCTCTCTGCATGTAACCTTCATGTTTGCTTCGCCGCAGCACCTGTAGTGACAGCTAACCCACAAATTAGGTAACGTTAGTTACCTTACTTGCTGTTCGTGGAATTTTCATTGTGTTGGATTTCGCTTACCCCACCTTTTTTAAATTAAAATGTGTTTTGAGAAGAAAAAACACGGTGAGCGCGTTTCTGTTAGACCACATTAAAACACACAGTGTGTCTTTGTGAGTACCACTGAATATAAACATAACTTTTGTTTGTTATTTATTTGATTTTGCACAGTACCCCTTGTTATATTTTGTCCTAATAAAACACCCGAGAGACAAGCAGAGGAGTTGTATGTCTCTGGACTTTTCTGTATTTCTGATGAAATACAGAGAAACTAGGAAGATCTTGGTTTAAATATTTAGTCTATGCCACTTCAGTGCTTCCCTCTGTTGCTCTATGCCTTTATTGCTTCATACCCTCTTCTTAATTTTTCCCCCATCATGCCTCCAGCTGCCTACCTTCCATCTGCCTTTGTCACATCTGTGTCTGCTCTCCCCTACCATTGTCTTTTCTGCCTCCTCCTGTCAACACTGCATATTCTGTACCTCCAATTAATCCATCTACCTACCTCCCTCCAACTCTGCAGGGACGACCCAGAGAACGACAGCAGTGAGCTGCCTACGGCCAAGGACTATTTCCGGGATCTCTACCACCGCGTGGACGTCATTTTCTGTGACAAGACCATCCACAATGACCCCGGCTTCGTGGTCACTCTCTCTAACCGCATGAACTATTTTCAGGTATGGGCTGTTCAGCCACTTTGAATGAATGTTGAACTTTGAGGGCGTTGTAAGGTTTTCGTTTCAGTGTGTTTGCATCATCTCGGGTGAACAGAATTATATCAGCTTCCTAAATTAAAAAAAACTGGGTCCCTTTAAAAATGAACTGGTACATCGTAGAGGGCATATTGGGTTTTGGGAGCTACTATTGTACCTTAAAACACAACGAGGTAACAGATCTTTAAAATATCTTCAAGTGCTTGATGATCTGCTTAAAACCTACCAAGATCTGAGCATGATGTATTATGAATATCTTTAAATGTTTTTCCCCCCACTTCGTCCTTGTAGTCTCCCTGTTGACAAATGAGATCTGACAGGCCTGCGGTGGTCCCCGCTTGTAATGTTTGTGTTGTCTGTTTTGTCAGGTGGCCAAGACAGTAGCGCAGAGGTTGAACACAGATCCCATGCTGCTGCAGTTCTTCAAGTCACAGGGGTAGGAGGCTTGTCTCAACCACGCACACACGCGCGCACACGCACAAGTCATGCAGTGTAATTTCACATGACCAGTGATGTTGACAAAGACCCAAGCAGCACATACTGTGTGAATGTAGTAACATTAAAAACACAATACTGATCACTTTACTACGCCTGTCTTTCTCACTGTATGCCAGGAGGAATTAAAATATAGGAGTTATTGTTAGTTTTGTATTGACTGACTTTTAATTTAATTTTCACATAATTATCTGCATATCGATGTCCTGCTTGGCACATAGAAAGAAATGCGTATTGTGAATTTGTATATTGTGTTCTTATCCTCAGCTTGTCATGTTTGCCTTTGATTTAATTACTTGCAGTTGTCAGTAGAAATGTTGCGTAACCTGTCCCCCCCCACCTTTCTTGTTGTTTTCCTCTAACTCCTCCCACTCTGCCTCCCTTCTGTCCTCTTCTCTCCCCCCCTACATTTCTCCTCTGTTCTGCCTCTGCATCTCTCTGAATGTTCTCATCTTCCCTCTCTGTTCAACGCCCCCACCCTCTGTTTCTTTTCTTCTGTCATCCTTCTTTCCTCCCCTTCGTCGTCCTCCCCCCCTGCCTGGTGGTGTGGTGGCCAGGTACAGGGACGGTCCAGGGAATCCTCTCAGACACAACTATGAGGGAACGCTGCGGGACCTGCTGCAATTCTTCAAACCTCGGCAGCCCAAGAAACTGTACTACCAGCAGGTAGGAAGGGGTTGCCAGCTCCGGGACTAAATAGTTTGCTTTCTTTCCTACATGCCTAAGTTTTTGAAAGTACACTTTGACCTAAGTTTCAAGCAAGTCATGTAGTTTTTTATGTCTTCATTTATTTTTTTGTTGTTGTTGCTGTTTTCTGTCTTGCTCATCATGTTTATTTCGTTCAGACCTTGTTTTTCTTTTGTCTGCTTTGTCCAGCTTTGTCTTTCAACTAGAGCAGCAATGTTTAGTCCATAGACCAAAAACTAGAGGAAACTGTTTTGATAAGTGATGCAAATACAATGCAAAAATGCCCAAAATGGGCTGGTGAGAAAATGCTGCTTTTCTTGTCCTTACATTATAGTTAATACACCATTTTCGGTTTTGGAATGTTGGTTGGACAAAATAAGAAGTGTAATGGCTTTTAACTTGGATACTGCGAAAGGCCTTTTCACTGTTTTTATGTTTTTATAGACCAAACGATTAATTGATTCACCAAGAAAATAATCGTCAGGTTAATCAGTAATGAAAACTTTCAACCTCTTTACTCATGCGCATTTTCTTTTCAAAACTGATTTTGGATCTTCTATCAGGATGAGGTCTGATTAGTGCTGCTGTTATTTTTGTTAATAATCAAAGATGTGTTCTGATTTTCTAAAAGTTTGGCTCACAGATTGTTTAATTATGTGTATACAGTAAACCATTCTTAAATTTAGATTTGTCAACAGTTCAAGTTCATTTTATTTATATAGCACGTTTTATAGCAGCCACTGACTGACCAAAGTGCTTTACAGAATTAAGACAATAATACCATGCATAACAGCACAGCATAGAAAAGTACAGCAAAGTTAAGAACAGCTTTAAACAGGAGTAGCCAAAGCAGTATCAGACTCGTCAACAATAACAATAAAAAACAGAAATGCCAGTATCAGACTTAGATAGAAAAAACAGCATCATACTCCAAGGAGAGAAAAATTAACAAAAAAAAAAATATATATATATATAAAACACCCTTATTTATAGGCCAAAGAAAACAAGTGTGTTTTTAAAAGTGACTTAAAAGAGGTCACAGAAGTGGCTATCCCACTTCTGTGGGCAAATTTTGCAACAGCTGAACTGGAAGATATTCTTTTTGTCGGACCAGCTGCTCAACACGATGTGGCTTAGGTTGTAGTAGAAAGCCCTAGCTTAGCTAACAAAGCTAAAACTTCTATATAGCAAGCTTACAGTGTAAATGTTTCCCTGTCAGAAAAAGACAAACTTCCAGAAAAGATAAGCCAAGCTTTGATCATCTTCCATCTGTTGCTTTCTAAATAAAAGATCTGGTACCTCCAGCCTTTCTGGCAGTTTAAGGAATGTATTTGTAGCTGTACAGATAAGTGTAAAGTCCTGCAAATTGAAAATTCTGTATTGTGTGCAGACAGTTGCACCTCATGTTTAATTTTGATTGGATCCTGTGGGATCTGAATTACGGAAATGCATTTGATGCGACCACAGGGCAATACAACAGGATGTTGCAAGCCACCTGTTAAGAGCTTCCTGAACGCAGCACACAGCTCAGCAGAACGTCTCATGAGTGTTTATTTATCTCTCTCTTCATGCATCCACAGTTAAAGATGAAGATAACAGACTTTGAGAACAGGAGGAGTTTTAAATCCATATGGCTCAACAGCCAGTTCAGAGAGGAGGTAACGCACGCATACACACTTTTAACAGCCACACAATGCACTTCTGAATATGTCACTACACATAATAAGTCAAACGTTTTGTGTGAGTCCAGCTTAGAGGTAAACTGTGCAAATGTGTTTGTTGCAGGAGATCACCCTCTACCCTGACAAGCACGGCTGTGTGCGGGACCTTTTGGAAGAATGTAAAAAAGGCAGTGGAGCTCTCTGAAAAAGGCTCTGAGAAGCTCAGGTATCCACCCTGCAGGAGTGTGTGTGTGTGTGTGTGTGTGTGCGCGCACATTTTAACAGCTATAACGTTGGAAATTTGGCACATGATGGTGAACGTTATGAAAGCGAAAAATGAAATCAAAAACAAATCCCTGACCCTATGTGTCAGTTTCAGTAATAATTAAGTATACTGTCAAAAAATGTTAAAAACTTCAATGGTAGTTGATTTCACTGCTGAGGTGAGCTGTCCGAAGAAAACAATGTTGCTACATCCTGACATTTAAATGAAATATCAGCTGTTTTTTTTAATGCAATCTTAAGACATTTCTCACAGCTGTAGCATTATTGTACGTATGTATATGACTGGGAGGAAAATGACCGACTGTGTAAAGCCATTGGAAGCTGAGGATCGGGCTGGTAGTCATGTGGGAGAGTGTTTAGAAAGTCACTTTCTCCATGTAGTTTTTCACTCACCTGCCTCCACCATGAGTCCAGCTGTCATGTAAACATGTAGATGGTGAAAGCTCTTCATATATCCAACACATTTTTCCCCCAGTGTATCTTGGGTCAGAGATTGCAGCGCGAAGTCCTTTCCCAACAATTATCTGCGATAGTTAGACACGCAAACAAAAACATTTCCAGAACATTTACAAGGTGCTTGTTTGAAAGATTTTACTTATCTACTCTTAACTCCATGCTCTGAAGAGGTACTCAACTCTTAAAGCAGTAACTGCTGCCTGCACAGATTCATCTCATTTTTATTAATATGCCATCTTTAACAACTCTGGGATTTTTATTTCTGCCTCCATTTATTCCAATTTAAATTTTTGTCAACTAATATTATTATGTTATCCATGGGCTAATGTTATTTAAGCTCCTGGAAATCAGTTTGTCTTTGAAAAGCTACTGCGGAGTATTCACTCTTTCTTCTTGTCTGCTCTCTCTCTGTGTCTCTTCCTCTCTTTCTCCCTCTGTAGGCTGTTAGAGATAGTAAGCTATAAAATCATCGGGGTTCACCAGGAGGACGAACTGCTAGAATGTTTATCTCCGGCTGCCAGTCGCACCTTCAGAATAGAGGTAAGTGTGTGTATGTATGTGTGAGGCGATCCCTGTGTGTCTTATCTTTTCAGTCTTTTTCGCCCTCTTGTCACTCCTCCACTTAATGGCATGCTAAGTTTGTCTACACAAGCAGCTACTTTAGCTACATTTCCAGGGTTTTGCTTCTTCGGAATAATCTGGTTCAATTGTTAAAGATAAACTTAAAACCAGGCTGAAGCTCTAACCTCATCTGGCTGAAAGTCTAGTGCACTTGAACTACACTGTTCTTCCCGTACACTGGTGTGGTTTCCACACACGTTTTTAACTTGCTCTGAAGTTTGTAACTGACTGGTCTAAATCCCATCCTCTCCCTCTTTTCCTATTTTCTTCCCTCACTTAGGAGATTCCTTTGGACCAGGTGGACTTGGACAAGGACAGTGAAATGCTAATCCCTGTTGCTCACTTCCACAAGGAAGTCTTCGGCACCTTTGGAATCCCCTTCTTGCTCAAGATCAGACAGGTGTGTGTTTGTACACGTGTGAAAGAGACCTTCTAGCATACTTTAATATAATGTATTTCATAGTTACCCAACTTTAATGCTCTGTGTTTGTTTGGTTTGTTCTTTCCTTCACCCCCTTTTCCCCACAGGGCGAGTCATTTCGGGAGGTGATGAGGAGGATCCAGACCATGCTGGACATTCAGGAGAAGGAATTTGAGAAGGTACAACACCACGCTTTGCTTGCATAGCCAGAAAAAATTAGCTGTATTGAGTGCATTTTAAATATTTTTAATAATTTAACAGTTTGGTTACTAGAAGTGGGAGACATTTCAATACTGCAATATGTTTACATTACTTAGTGATCTACAGGTAAACAGTAGTTGGTTGTCAAGTAACGTGTGGTTGTGTGTGTTCTCAGTTCAAGTTTGCAATTGTGATGATGGGGAGGCATCAGTACATAACCGAAGACGAGTATGAGGTCAACCTGAAGGACTTTGAACCACAGCCAGGTATTTACTGCTTCTGCCACCGCTGAGAGTGCAGCTAACACAACTGCTGCTGCGGTTGATGTTGATGTTACTATACAAATGGTGGTAACATTATGAGCGCAACAGGCTATAACCAAGCATGCAAATGCATCACAAGGACAGTCCTGGGAGATCAGTCATTTAAATGAGGCCACTGGAGCGGCACAGCAGAAGGCTCCGGGGCAAAAAACCCCTACAAAATCCTCCCGCAAAAACTTTTTTTCCTCACAGTGCATTGTTGTCATGCAACATACTGCGTTGGCCAATTAAATTCACGCAAGAGCGTCTTCCTGTTCGATACATTTGAATCTGACCTGCTGTTTTTACTTCTTACCTTATAATTGTCGAGGAGAGGTTAATTGCTGCCATTATAACCTTTCCATCTTTTTGTCCTGTCATTTCCACACCCGTGCAGCCCCTCATGAGATTTTGAATGAGGCTTGAAGAAGACGAGACTCTTTAGTGACTGCTTTTACTCTACTACTGGAAGATGTGATTTAACTGTTAATGTATTTCTGGTCTCCTTGCATAATGACCTGCGGTAACACAAACCAAACCTGCTGCTGTAATGCTTCCTGTACAAGCATAATTTAGGATTCTTGATCATTTTGGGACACGCTGCCCGTAGTCTCCATAGTCATTTAAATTATCTGTAACCCTCAGTTTAAAAAAAAGTTAACAACTTAAGGGGACAGTCAGACCAAAAACAGCCATGTTTTAAAGAATACATTTGCAAGGGGCTTCAATGGTGGAGGCATGTAGCTTCAGGGCCCTGTGAGAAGTTGAAAAATACAGTTTGAGTAACAGATCCATGAGTTAGAAGCACAGTCACAGTGATTACTGTTTCATCCTTCGCAGATCGCAGTGATCACGAGGGAAACCATTTTTCTGGAAACAGTAGAAATACAAGTGATCTTCCAGGAATGTGCTTTTGCGCGTGTTTGATTGGCCACTGCAGGATGACATCACGGTCAACTGTTTTGCCCGACAACCTTGATTTTTATTTTTATTTTTTTTATATATTATTTACCCCCGCGCCTGCTGTGTTGGTATATCCCCGCTGCGTCGACGGACTGTCCTGATTCAAATGAACAAGTGGGCTAAACTCGGTCTGAACACGTCCTACAGCAGTACAGAACGCTTCACTTGTGGCTGCAACTACGCAAATATTGTAAATGTCAAAGGTTGAATCACTTTATTTGCGTTAATCTAAAACTGCTAAATAATCCTCATTTTTATAGAGACAACCAAAAGTTTTCACAAAATTCAGTTTGAGATAGAAGTACACTACTACTGTTTGTACTGCTTTTAGTATTGCAGCTACTACCGCTGCTGTGAGATTAATGTTTTTTTTGTTGTTTCCAAAAAGTAACTTTAAATGGGAGACTTGACGTGTAATGGACCTCTCTGACGTATCTCCTTCCAGGTAACATGTCCCACCCGCGCCCCTGGCTAGGGTTGGATCATTTCAACAAAGCTCCAAAGAGAGGTCGCTACACCTACCTGGAGAAAGCAATCAAGATCCACAACTAAAGCAGCCCGCCCGCCCTTCCTCTTTGTCCTCCTCAGCCTCCTCCTCCTGCTCCGCCTTCCTCCCTACCTACTTTAACACACCATAACCACAGACTGTAACCAACCGTGTGTGTGTGTGTGTTTGTGTGTGCGAGACTGTGTGAGCGTGCGTGCTCGTGTGTGTGTGTGTGTGTTCATCACTTTTAACACCCCGCCTGGACACCTCTACAGCTCTACACCGGCACTATGTCTAAAGCGTTATGGATCTTGCTGCAGCTGACGGATTATCCTTCAACCGCAAAATAAACTGCACCAACCACCTTCTGACTGTTGATTTTGTTGTTTATTTTATTTTACTTTTTTTTTATCGTCTCCCTCTACGTCTGAGGCTTGTTCAGTTGTTTTATTTCTTTTTTTTCTGGCTTCTCTACCTGTTGACTGCCTGTTTTTTGTTGCCTATCTGGAAGTGGGAGAAATTAAATTGGATTTTAATATAAAATAAGCGGAGAGGGGAGAGGAAGTGGGACACAGTATAAATATAAGTGTGTGTGTATATATACACACTATATATAATTTATATATAATTTATATATATAATTTATATAAAATCTTCTAGGCTTAGTTTTTTTTCCCTTCAGATATTTTTGGGGGTTGTTTTTAAAGAGTTGTTTGCTGCTGTGTGGAGACTTTGATGGAAGGATGTTTGCGAGGACTAACTGACAGAAAAAGAGGGAGAGGCTGTGAACTTTCGTCCACCCTGACGCTCACTAGTTGCCCTGATGTGTTTCTTTATATTTTCTGCTCCCATCCTTTTAGTGCAACAAAACAAGTATTTCCAAGTTTACACACGATTCTTTTTCACTTAGTGTGGTTGGAGGAAAAATGGATAAATTTTTTTTTGTCTCTTTCTGCAGATCTTGTATAATAAAAATCCACAGCATCTGTTAAAAAATAAATGGGGGAAAAAAATAAGGAGGATATTTGTCTGTATTTCATCTTGCACGTTGGCACTTAATGGCAGAGTTTCTCAGGACTGGCAAATGTACATTTTGGTTGCGGTTTTGAGTTGCTCAGTGACTTTGAAGGAACACACACATGCACGGACATTACCCCCTCTTGACTTTATCTTCCATTTTTGTTTTGTTTCAGGGGGGTTTAATGTCTTTCTCTGTCATTCCTCCTCTGAATGCAAACACACACAAGCTTGGTCATTCTCTCTTGATTGACACTGTCACCTCCAGGTGGTTGGGAGCAGTAACTGCGCTGTGCTTGGTAGGGAGCTGCAGACACTTCGAGCCCACAGGTTTGAGGATTTTGTAGAGACAAAACCAGCATTGTAAGAAACACTTTAAGCCCTATGAATTTATTTGTCTACTTTTGTTTTGTTCCTTTTAAAGCACAGATGGAATGCTCCCCTAATAGCGCATAGCTGGCTCTGTAAAGACAACATTTAAGAATTGTATATTTAAAAATATGAACGTGTAAAATTTAAGAGAAACACGCCTTTGTTGTCGGGTACAGAAGGAGCCAGGTGTTCATATTTCTTGTGTGTAGGGTTTTTTTTTTTTTTTTTTGCGTTCCTGATGTACCATTGACGATTTTTTTCTGTTACATTTGGATTTCTTTTTCTTTTTCAAAACTAACTGCATTGGTTTTGTCTTGTTAAAGTGCAGTACAAAGATGACCTGCAAAATCACACCTTAATTTGATCTTTTCCAGTTTAAAATCCTCAGTGTAGCAGCAGTGTACGACAACTATTCCTGTATATTGCCTTTTTGCTGGAAAATGTATGTTGAATAAAATTTTCTATAAAAACAAAGACGCTACTCTGCGGCTTGTCCATACCAGTGCTAGACACAAAACACTGTTAAAGGAACTGAGATGAGAACATTGGTACCACTGTCTTGTTCGTCTGTTAAATTTAAGGTTCCAGCCAGCTGCTAGTATGCTTAGCTTAGCATAAAGACTTGAACCAAGGCAAAACATCTAATCTGGTTGTGTATTAACTTAAGGTAAGAAAATCCACACCAGCACCTGTACAGCTCACTGTTTAACAAGCTGTATCTTGTCTGTGTAAATATACAAAAGTAAAAGTGTAAAAGCAACAATTCACCATTATACAAGTTGTTATATATGTCCCGGACTATTTCTTTGCTGGGAGCACTAACGTTGCCTTGCTGGAGTGTGCTGAGCCAAGAAATAGCTAGCCGTTTCCAGTCTGCGCCAAGCTAACTGGCTGTTGCCATGTCTAACTCTTGGCAAGAAAGTGAATAAATGTGTGTCCTATTCCTTTAAAATTCAAAGTTGCCTTTGACCCAAAACATTTAGATATACATACATCTTGGATGGCTGAGAATCTTCATGGACATCTAAAACTTGCTTACATGCAGTAAATGTTTTCATAAACTTCAGAACCATTCAGCATGCATGCTTCATGATGGAAGACATTTCAGAAAAGGTATTTTCCCAGTGAGGTTAAAGGTCAGGTCTATGCACAGAACAGCACACACTGGCTGTTCAATGAGCTTAGCTGAGGAGTGTTACTCAGAATGACATGTGATTCACTTTCAATTTAAACAAGACAAAGTATACAGACATGTTTTGAGGTAAATGCTAACATGCGAATGTCTACCGTGTTCACAGTCTCGGCTTAGCCTGTTACGCTTGATACCAAACTACTGAACAAATGAAAACTTTGAACCGAATGATGGCGCTATATGAAAGGTCAGGGCATCACCAAAGTTATTACAAATTATCTTGAGGGGAACATGAATATATGTGCCATAATTCACAGCAATTCATTCAACAGTTGTTGAGATACACTGCTAAAAAAAAATTAAGGGAGCACTTAAATCACACATCTGATCTCAATGAATGAAAAAGGTCAGTTCAAAAAATCTTTACTGTACACTGCTGCATAACGTTCACCACGGTGTCTCCAGACTCTTTCACGTCTGTCACGTGTGCTTAGTGTGAACCTGCTGGGTTGTGAGCACAGATCCTACTAGAGGACATGGGGCCCTTGTGTCACGCTCATGGAGTCTGACAGTTTGGTCAGGAACATGCACACCAGCTGGAGGTCATTTTGTAGGGCTCTGGCAGTGCTCTTGTTCCTCTTCGCACAAAGGAGCGGATACCGGTCCTGCTAGTGGGATGGTGCCTTTCTACAGCCCTGTCCAGCCCTTCTTGTAGCGGCCTGTCTCCCGGTATCTCCTTCGACAACTTTGCTTACACAGCCACACGTCAAGCAAGTGCTACAACACAAACATAGCAAGCCAGCTAATAAGTTATTACTTAATAGTCCAACAGCGAGAAGGCCAGCTCGGTATCTGCCTTGGAGCTCTTTTAGCTCATGCCAACAAGTAAAGGCCAATCTGATATTCGGTCACTCTCTTTTTTGGTCTTCCTACAGCGTCTTCTTCGGTCTCTTCGCAGTGTCTGCAATGATATCCATACTGAGAATCCCAAGCTAGCTTCTTCCAAAGAACTTACATTGTACATTATATATTATCTTATTATATTTCTTATTATTGCTTCTTCTTAAAGCGTACTTGCTGAAGAGTTTTGTTGATGTGTTTTGGTGCCGTAAAGCATTCACTGTTCTCATGATAAAAGGCCTGCCCGGGACTTCAATCTTACATAGTGCCATAGGAAGCTTCCCCGGCCAGGAGCTGCAATGACAAAGACGTCATTCACCCTATTACAAGTCAGTGTACCATCAAAATGATTTTGAAGCTGTTATTTTAAGATAAAAATACTACATAATCTTGCTTTAACCCCTTGACGCCTGAATTTATTTCCGATTACATAAGAAAATGTATTGTTTTTGTTTTCATGTGCTTTCAAGCTGATGCTAAATTAAGTGGAGATTATTAATTTGTCTATAGAACATACAAGAACAAAAAGATATAAATTCAGGTATGATGTGGGTGTGATGCAAATTAGCGACAACAGGCATTAACAAGAAACCAGTGCTTGCAAAAAGTTCCTAAGTACATATCGAATATGCACAAACAGGCATTGGGAGAATACATACACTATCTCGGCTGCAGTCTGAATGGATGATGCGATTTTGCAACAATAAGCGTTAAGGGGTTCACCAACAGGTCAGCTCGTTGGCTCTGACCTCTGTAGATGAGACAAAGATAGGACGAAAATAAACAGAATCACAGCAGGGTGCCATCTATTGTGTGCATATATAGGCTACTTTTATTAGAGAAATAATGTTATAAAATAGTGAATAGAACATAACAGAAGTCCAAGCATACACAGTTGCATCCTGGGGACAGTGTGAAAAGAATCACATCCCTCACAACAACATGTTGCCTCCTTTCTCTTGTACATCATTATTGTTTTATGAAGCAGGAAGATTTTTAATTCTACAAAAGCAATCAGACAAAAACTAATTTCTCAGTAAGATACCAGTAGATGTTTGTTTAGCACAGAGATGGTCAAAAAAGTATTTTAAATATTCAAACAAGTGTCTTGATCTGTGGCTCCACCAGCGATTGACTGCCAATGAACACATCACGCCATAGTGTAGTAGCATAGTGTAGCTTTAATTTTGCATTTTAATGAACTCTCATGGCAAAATCTTTGTTTGGAGGTAAACATTCAAATGATCAAAACAACAATCCTAAATAACATTTACAGCCAGCTGTTGTTGCAGCTTTTAACTAACTTCATGCTCTCTCAGAGCACCCTTCATCCCTAAATTTCATGGCTGACAACATATAAATATAACAAAAATAAGGCACATAGGTCTAATTTGTGTTTATTTAAATGTGTAACTTCAGATTAGACAAAACAATGCCAACACAATTGGATTGTGCAGTAACTGATTTATTGTGTTGCGCTGGCTTGTTGTTTATGAAGATGCTGTTATTCATTCAAAAGCTGTCAATCCCTTCAAATGGACAGCTGGTCTGCTTAAATTCAAATCAACAATCCCTTATTGTATATGATAAAGTGTATTTACAAGTCTTCATTTTAAAAACATAATGCATGCAGAAGTTTCTAAAGATTTTAATAGAGAATATTTCCGCTGTAACAGGGATAAAAATTAAACGTCTCCCAAAAAGTGCACGGGGGTGTGATTGATTTGACTTGTCAGAGCTTTAAAAGTGAGGACATGAAATTTAACCTCTGACAGATACAACCACTCCCAGTTTGCTTATAATATGATGTTTGGTTTTGCCTCGGCTAATGCAATGGTTCACCCATAGATATAAGCTAAATCTGAACTGTGACCTATTTCTGTCAGTTTCCTATAATGCGGCAATGGGTTGTTGTTGTTTTTACCAGGAAAACAAAACACAGACAAAGGTAACAGGATCCTATTTCTTATTTCTGTGGGTCCATGTCTGCCCCCATGTTCATCATTTACAGCATTTTTTCTTCTCAACATGCAGGACTCTGTTGCAGCGGGGGCACGTGTGGTAAGCATCCTTGAAGTTTTTCACAAAGAAAGGGATCAGGCAGCAGCACAGGACTAACCTGCAACACACACACAGTCAGTGTCACACAGATGTATGCCAGAATATGTTTTGTTTGTTTTGACCATTATGTGTTGTGTACGAAAATGATTGGGTGTGGAGGATCAGATTTTTTTTATTTAATAAAAAAAACCCTCCTCAGAGTTATTTATACATCCTCTTGGCTTAAAAAAGTGCAGTAAAACTATAAATGATATATTTATAGAAAACAAAATAAAACGTGTAGACTACCTGCTTAAGTTTATTACAGTCATTGAAAGAGTGAATCGGGCCACATGGCAGCTTTGTGCCTGCTAGATGGCCACAATATTTTCACCTCACCCTGGATACCAAATAATAACTAGAATTACTGCTCCGCAGTTGAATGCCTCCGCCAACCAGTCAAATTGCAGTTTACATCCATGTCTGTCCAGACTCATATAATACTGTATATATAGTAAATACTTGGAAGAAATTGAATAAAAAGGTAGAAAGTGTAGTTTTTGGCTAAATGAACGTTATCACTATATTGATGATATATTGTTGAACTGATTAATGAGAGATTATCATAGATGTATTGGCTAAAGAAGTAAAGATATACATATGCTTGATCACAATATAAAAATGGTATAGTAAGAAGTATAGCTACACAAAATGTGGTGCTTTTCTTTTCTCCTTTTAGATACAAAGTTCCTCTATGAGCTGTAGGTGAAACTCACTCACTCACAGGATCACGATTAGCTAGGCACACTCCAATATGCTGTTTACAGTCATGTGATTATTGTTTACTTGTCGCAGTCAACATGTGAAAACTGGAATCCTACCATTTATTCTTAAATTAATCCCTTACTGGGGTCACATTGACCTGTGACCTTTGAGTCGTAAGTGTGTCTGACCAACTGTGAAATCTGGTCACAGTCTCCCCTCCTGTTCCCGAGTCATGGTGCTGAATAATAGAAAGGTTTTATCCATGACATTATAACGTCACAGTGCAGTTGACCTTTGACCTTTTTGGTAAAAAAAGTTTTTGGGAAATTTTGTCATAACCCCCCCCCCCCCCCCATCACTTCTTGAGTTATGGCCAAAAACGTGTTTTGTGAGGTTGCCGTGACCTTTTAACGACAAAATTATAATCAGTTCATCCTCGGGTCGTTTGTGCCAAATAAAATAATAAATATGAATTACATCAGATGATCATCATAGGCTGGTAAAGAAAAGAATACGCTTCCTGGAGAGATAACATTCAATCAATAAATGATCCACATCTATCTGGTTCTGCAATCTCGTTTTGTTGGTTAAATTGTTAACTGCCCTGAGGCCCCAAAGTCCGCTAGTATTACTGAAGGTCAACTGTCAAAAGATAATTGCAATATATTTGGGGATTGTGCCCCGCTAAAATACAATATCAACTGCATCTTGCTATATTGGCAAATGATGTGGCTTTGTCTTGGGTCTGTGCTGGCTGGTCTCTGGTCTGCTGGCTGCACTTAATTTCTTGGGAACTTGGAGGTAACAGAGATGTATGATGGGCCCTAAAGCACACACTCACCCGCAGCAGATGAAGAGTAAACACATCAGCCAGGCGTACGTCCCTGCTTTGTAGGTGACGTTGGTCATGACCTGCTGCTGGCAGGAAGAGCAGGTTGTCATCCCGGGAGAATTCCCCAGAGCCGTGTCGTAGCTGACAAACTTCCTTTTGGTATCTCCAGCCTCGAGACCTGAGCCGACGCCGCCTCCTCCTTTGGTGTACACTGAAGGAGGGAGACAGGACAGATGGTGGTGAGTGGGAGGCAGGAAGAGAGGATGAGGAGAGGAGAAGGGCCAGAGGGGAGGAAACAGAAAAGTTGATTAACTATGCACTAGAATAAACTGTAGCTATAATGTTTCTGACATGTGTTTCCAGGAAGTGTAACATCGGGTGTTTGTTTACCTGGCGTAGACTGAGAGTCGGAGATTCCCTGAGAGCTGTGAGGGTTGAATGGGGTGTGCAGGTGGTAAACCCTTACTCCGTCTCCCTGACGTTCTACTGCACCAGAAGAGGAGGAGAGACAGAAACAAAATGGAGATATTGAGGCAATATGATGATGATGATGATGATGATGATGAGAATGTTTGTGTGCATGGTCTGTTTGGGTTTACCTGGTACGATGTAGGGAGGGGGTTCTTTTTTCCCATCTGCGCTCATTTTGCTGCAAAGAGAGAGCACAGACAGGAAAGGATTGTTACAAAGGGCACCTGAAGGACTTAAGGTCTTTTCTTAGTAGCCTACTTTAACATTACCCACCCTGTCTTAGTGCTGCTTTCTGCCACCAGGTGGAGTCACAGACTGACTGATGGAGCTAATAACACCTGTCAGGCTCTGATGACAATCTCTGTCACCTCTTACTGGCACCTATTTAGCCCTAAGCCCTATGAATTAGTTGTCGGACCAGGTTATAAACATTGCATTGTGTGGATGTCTCTTGTCAGTAGCCCTGGGGGGAGAAAACGCCTGGGCGGGACTCTGGGTTGTGATGGCTGACTGGTTTCAGGTGTGGTCACTCACCAAAAAGGCTTTTTGAAAAAACGTCTTTGTTTCTCTAGCAAGTCTCACACCTGCTGAGGGGACACGGGGATTTATTTGTTTTATTTGCAATATTTTGATGATGATTTATCAGAAAAGTACATGATCGTTTTCCTATTGTGCTTATGCTTCGTAAGTGTTAGAATTGTCCTCACCCATCAAAAGAAAGAGCTCTTTTTGTTAATCCGACCGTAATATTACGTTTAAATGATATAAGAAAACTCAACAGCATTCTGTATCAAACAAAACAGTGGGATGAAAACAGGAACACCATTTAAATGTGAGGCCGCAGCAGTGACTTAAGACAGGTCTGATACGGCTGTAGGAGAGTGAACAGTGAGCCTGTAATGGATGAGATAAAACAAAAAACGTTGCAAGCTGGATTAAAATGCTGCATCGTTTCCTTGTGTGTCCACCACTGACAAATAAAACAAAAATTAGAAAGTTACATATACTGAATTTGGATTTAATTTTATTAAAATTTTAATGCTTATAACTTTAACAGTCTCAAAATTAAACCAAAGATTCAGAGAAGACAACAAGTAAAAAAAAAACAATTTCACCAATCAACAGATACAAATGTATCTGTCTGTATGGTACAACAAAAACACTGCAGCAGATTCTCTGTAGGCTTTGGGCTTCCTCAGAAGAAGCTACCACACCTTAAGCATACTTGCAAAAAAAGTAAAAGGCATCCATTAATAATCATGCTTGTTCAACAGTAAAATACAAAAATAAACTGCACATAAATCCTCAGTGTGGTCATTCTCAATGGTTGCTTCCTTCTTACACTGGCACATATAACATCTACATATGTTAAGCCTCCATGACTAAGCCCCACTGCTGGCCAGCTAAAGTGCCAACTCGAGGCGCCGCAGACTAAGCTTAAGAGGAACACAAACATGAGATAGATCCTCCACAAAACGCAGCAAAAACCAGAAGACAGGGTAGTCAGGAAGAGAAAAAAATACACAGTACAGAAGATCTACAGTAATTACTGCTATTACTCTACAGCTCAGGACTTAGATGAGCCAAATCTCATTAAAGCCTCATTAAAACATAATTAGAATACTACATTTCTATTCTGCATGGGTCACAAATGAGTGTGGAACCAATTTTCTGCCCAGTTATTGTTATTTACTTTTTTTAAATATTTATTTTTACAGAATTTTTATTTTATATATATATTTTTTTTATTATTTTATTTTGTATTAACACACACAAACACAACTTTTGCTGTTTTATTTCCTTATCTAGTGAAATGTATGAAATTAATTGTCCTTATGTACTTAATATAGCTTTGGAAATATTGATGTTATACATTCATGCCAATAAAGCTAATTTGAATTTGATTTTGAATTTGAAAGAGAGAACATGTTTAAATGATTCATTATTAGCATTATTATTTCTATTAGATCTTGATAGGAACAGAGCACATTCACTACCAGTGGTACAGTTTTGAGTCTCCAGCAATTATTGTTGATTTTGTGAGATTTCTTGGAGGGAAACACACAGTTGTCTTGTGGCTGTGGCATTGTGTAGATCTGAGCAAGAAATGCATTGTCTAAACTTCTAAACTGCTCACATATTAAATTATCAATAACACAGGCTCTGACACAGCGTGATCAGTGTAGTGTTTGTCACGAACAAAAAGCTGCTCTGCTGCACGCTTGCTGTTGTCTGCCTGCTTTTTAGGCCCATTGAATAACCAAAAAGTCATGTGACTAGTTCAATGGATGATCCCATACCAGGAAAAACCCACCTAACAGATGCACATGACTCTACCTCTCGACATTTCTCTCTTTGGTCTCCTTATTCTCGTTGTGTCTATCTTTCCATATACACAAACGCACACACCAGCAGGAGTAGGCGTCCTCTCTCTCTCTCTCTCTCTCTCTCACTCTCTCTCACACACTCAGACACACACACACATATATATATGCACACTACCCTGGTGGACTTTCCTCCATCCATTCATTGAGGTGTAGCAATAGTTCATCCCTTGTCATCGTTTGGAAAAGATGACAGACTGCTTTGTCATTGTGTCACACACAGAGGGCCAGTATACACCCATGTGTTGGTGCAGGAATGCGACGGAGCCGCATGCTTCAATCTGTGTCACAGACTGAGGGAGGGCAGGCTAAACCAATCTGTCATGTGAACTCATTTGTGTCAAAAGAAGACCCTGACATCATGTTGTGTTAATGACATTAAAAAAGTGATGGCTGAATATGTACATGACAATTTGTAAAACATTTCAATCAAAAGTGTCTTTAAAAATCCAAAAAGGGCATAAATTTACAAGTATTTCTTCACATGTTTATGGTTAATTCCTTCCAGCCTGATTTGCCAATTGTCAGGGCTGAACTGGCTGAGCTGCTCTGTCACTTGTTGACTCCATTCCACTGTCCTATAAGTAGCTGGTGCAACATTAATTGGAAAGTTTGGGCTTGTTGTGCTGAAGGAAACACCTGATTCTGATATTTATGTATTTATGTAAAAAAAAAATGCTTGGAGAAGCGCTGCAAAGTGGCTGCAACAGTCACGGTGCGTTCAAGATCTCAAGGCCTTCATTTTAAGAAAAAAAGTGTTGAAAGTCCAATCACAACATTTTATTCTTCATTTCTTTCAGGTTTCTATAATCATGAACAAGATGAAACAATGGCCTACGTCCTGTGTAAGCGATGACCAGGCAAGCGATGACGCTCCATTACAGAGGTAGGTAGCCTACCTGGGAGTGGATTTTTGGAGGAAGGAATTGGGTGCTACTGGTCGAGAAAAACATGCCCAGTTGATGAACCATGAGTTACATTCTGTTGACAAACTAAAGAAACATCCCACGGATATAAAACAGACTCTAGGCCTTTAGACTTTTAGGTGATTACCTGATGTTATCATGTCAGCTGGTAATTTTCCTATGTGGTGAAGAGAGTTCTGAGGTAACTGAAACTCGCTCTCTCATACTGAGCAGGCCAATTTTTCATTTAGACGAGAGTGTCACGGGTGTGGCCTTACCGTATGAGGCATCTGTGTTGGCGAGCGCAACATAACTAAATTTAGATTCTCATTTTCAGTCTGGCCCCAAATCAACCAAAAAACACAGAAAAATACCCCCAAAATAAAGATTCGCCCCACAATACTGGGCAGTGCATCTATCTCAGCACATCAAGCTCACATAATCCAAACATGTATTTTGTTGGAAATCAAAGCAACATATCATGTTTTACATTACATTTAGCTGACACTTTTATCCAAAGCAATTGCTGGATATGTCAGAGGTTGCCATCACCACCCCTCACACCCCCATGCTAAAGGTATAAGGTAAATTCAGGGTTTAATTAAAGTTAGTTTTAAATTTAAAATAAATATCAAATTCAGTCAGATTCTTCTGTAGTGTCTGGTATTTTTGAAGAATAATATGTGGTTGTCTGAAGAGGAGTTTTTCTTAAATTCAGTCGTGTACCAACTTGTGAAATTGAGCTTTTCCATTTTAAAAATGTTCAACAACTATTACTACTTTAGTATTTATGTACTTTATGTAGTTTATTTTTTCACATGAAACCCATCAGCCCCATAAGACCTTATTGTTGTTGTTATGATTCAGTCATTGGTTTTCATGTCTGGTAATACAACTGGTGAGATTACCCTTGGAACTTTTCTCTAAATCTGACAGCATCAACAAACCAACAACAGTAAATGGAAAACATGTTTTATCCAAAGTGTTTCTGCCACTGATTACCACCATTCTAGGGCCGCTACTGCAAAACTACTATTACAAGAACTTTTCTTACTACTATTTTTCTGACCATCAAGACTCAAACTGCAAATTGGTTAACATGTAGAAAACACAAGACAAACTTAGATTTGCTTTACATCACATACAAGTAGACAGAATCTCATTACTGTACATTAAGTACATTAAAGTGATGCCTAAAAGCTTGATGTGAAGAGTTGGGCTCTTTAAAATTACAATTTTGCTGTAGAAATCAGATGTATACGAACGTGTGCTAGGAGCTTAATAGTATTTCATATCACTTTAAACCATGAAATACCAGAGTCTAAGCCACTGAACAAGAGCTCGTGCATACCCACAAATATTACAAAAAAAATAACAGCAAGAAAGAAGAGGCAAACTACAACAAAAGTGACCAGGGATAAAGATCAAAATTAAAATGTTCCATCCGGCCGAGCTGGAGCCTATAAAACCAGCTGTGTCTTTGATCATCCATCAGTAAAACGTCAGCAGATTTAGGTCACAGCGGATTCATTAAAAATGTAATTTACTGTGAGATTTAAAGCTAGAGATTTGTTTGGCAAAAAACTTTCTTTGTGTGTTTTTCTGTCTTCAGGCCTGTTTTTGAGTGTCTGACAGTCTTACCTTGGCTGGTTGTTGCAGTCAGTATGCAGAGGTGTTTGTGTATGTTAGCTGCTGCTGATGTAGAGTCCAGACACTGTGCGGCTGAGACTCCTACCTGTCTCACCTGTTACCTCTACCTATCTCTCCATGGACACACCTCCAGCCACGCCGTCGTCATGAAATACCTGAATATGCTGCAGTGATGAGTCATTCATTGGTTTAGGTGGAACTTTCAAAGGCTGTACTTTTTGAGTTGTTCTTTGTTTCTGGGTGATTATTCAGATAGTGTGTTTGTGTGTGTCACTCTCCCACGAATAACCAGTTTCTCCCCTTCTGCTTCATAGCTCCACAGCAGACTATGTGACCTGACACAGGCTCCAGGCGATCATAGTTTTTGTCATGGGATGTCATTTAGAAAGTGGATATATTTTTGCACACTTTAACATCCCCTTACAATTTGGCCTCACGTTACCCAGATCTGAATCCAACTGTATCATGCATCTAACCAA